GATCATATCCTTTTTCCAATAGTTTCCAGTCTCAACTATGGGTACTTCGGTTATGTCTTCTTTGGGTCCTTCTCTTGATACGGTCTTTTCTTTCTCAATTTGCAATACCACCACCACTATGGTTTGTTTGTCTTTGGTTGGGTTAAAGGTACATCCATCATACATAAATCAATGCTCTCTGGAATGCATACCTTGGGTTTGGATAGATGGACAGGTGTGATGTATATACTAGGATTAAAGGTGAGTGGAAGTGTATGGATATGGTTGAGGCGATGAAGTGGTTGATTTTTTTCATGGGGTGGCAATGAGTTGGTAGTGACGTTGGGTTTTAATCTCATGACGAAGGCGAAAATAGCAGTCAGTGTCATGTCCAAGTTGTTGATAAAAGGCACCGTATTTGGTAAGGTCGTGTTTGGCTGGGAATGGATCGGGAAGAGGTCGGGGGTCCAGAGGCTTGAGATACCCTATTTCTTTCAAGATTTTCATAGCTTTGGCCGGGGACATGTAGAGAGGGTTAAAGGTTCTGGCAGTGGTTTGGGTTGAGTTGATTGTTTGTGGACTGGCATTGGCAAATGGGTCGGCTATTTTGGCGGTGGTGGTAATGACTGAATTGACCTCAGAAGGTCTTACAATTGTACTACTACCAGTAGTAGCATTGGAACTGCGACCCAAAGGTTTCCGAACAGGTTCCTTATCATCCACAGTGATTCCCTGTTTGATGGCATCCTCTATCTGGACCCCTATTTCATGTAAGTCTTTAAAAGTGAAGAGCGGAAGGACTATCATTTTTTATAACATCTTTCCATGCAGAGTTCTGATTATCATACGGATTTGGTCTTTTTCGAGTGGTCTGTTGGTCATCATCGCCGCCTTAGCCCTCCATCTGGTGATGAAGGCCACGAAACTTTCATTGGGCTTTTGACAGGTGGCCTCTAATTCCCGAGTAGTCACTTCAATCTGGGTGTTATAAGCATACTGGGTAATAAAGGCCTCGGCTGACTCTTCTCAACTTTGTTTTTTCGAGTCCTCTAACTTGGCATACTAGATGACAGCCACTCCTGACAAAGTTCGTCCGAATAAAGTGAGCTTTTGCAGACGAGTCAAACCCATAGGCTTTAAGAAATTAGAGAACAGGCGAATGCGCACCATTGGGTCACCGGAGCCATCAAACCTATCAATGTGTGGCATTTTGAACCGTTCTGACAACTTCACAACTGTCTCAGTGTACTCGTCTTTGATGTCCAGGATTAAATTGACTCCTTGTGACCTTTTGAAAAGTTTTTCCAACTTGGACAGTTTCAACATAGTTAGGTCAGACTCAGGTGCTTCGTAAGGAAGAGGCCATCCCGCTGGTTGTGAAAGAGGAAATGATCCTATTGAAGTTTGTACAGGAACCCTCAGATCTTCTGGTGAATTAAGTTCGGGAAACTGGTCAGGTGGTAGAGGTGGAGGTGGAGGTGGAGGCAGAGGTAGAGGTGGAACTGGATGAGTCATCGAAGGTGGTTGAGTAGTGGACGCCTCAAATGGGCGTTGCAGCTCAACAAGAGTATTGCCTTGAGCGGCAAGAGTAGTGCCTTGGGCAACAACCGTAGTGGTAATGGTATCCATGCTCTGTTGAAGGGTCAATAGTATGTCTGCTAAATTTTCTAGAATCTGAGCCATCACTGATTCTGGTGAGTTGAGTGGTGATGATCTATCAGGTGAAGAAGGAGTATTCTGGACAGTTGATGAGGCTTTTGTTCTTCTTCTTCATGTAACCGATGGAAAAGAAACTAACACTGGTTGTCCCTCAACTAGATTTGAGATCTTACAGAGACTACTAGCGCGAATCCAAAGAACTTGAGGGGTATCAGGCCATTATGAAGCTATTGTGCTACGACTACCTTGTTGAAATAAAACGGGAACCCCCGATTAGAATTTCATTAGCATCTCGGCTCAACTGATTACTACTATCTCATGCTGAAAAATTGAACTCAACCCCACAAACTGAAATGACTGAACCATTCATCTGAATTGGAGAATCCCCATATATTGCACATAACACATAGCAGGAAAGAGAACAAACACCTCTATGAGGGCTAGGTTACCCTGTCCTACCTTTGAAATGATCAAGGGTTTCATTATTCAAACAAGTGGCATCATACATACTAGAAATGGGAGAGCATCATATCCTAATTTTGGAAGGTACTATAGCTCATTATATGCACAAGGTTGGCTCTACTCTAGGGGTTGAAGTCAAGGTGACGTTGCCAAAGAGTCCTTCGGGTCATAACCAATGAAGATCTTAGGAAATCAAAAGAGTCAATAGAGCCTCTCTTCAAAGTCTGAGAACCTTCAGATCTCAAAAGGTTATAACATAAGGCCTCCAAAGTAATGTAGAGATAGGTGTAGTGTCACAAAAAGTGTACTTGTGCTCCCACCAGTATCTGGGCAACACAGGGACTTTAAGTGCACCAATGCATGCAATGTAATAAACATATAATTGAAAACAAAAGTCATGTCATGGAGTTTAAGTCAAGGTTTCATAAAATCTCTAATAGAGTCGCCAGAAACTATAACATGCCCGGGAGGTACCCGTGCGCGTTAAACAGTTCGGAACCTTGATCTCTTTGATCTAATCTCACTAGTGCAATGTGAAACATAGATGAGAGTCCAGATTTGGCAACTTTGAGAAAATCCATTTTTATTACAAAATCTTTTGCCAGAAATGGACTGCGTCATCAGATCTTAGAGTCACCACCTAATATTTTGGGAAATTAGGAAACCCATGACACGTGTCGAGGCCACTGTTTGTCATAACTAAAGTTGTCTCGGTTCAAAACTTTAGGTATGAGAGGGGAAGGTCATTAATTGAGCACCCCCGCTCATCCAATCAAAAGATCGGCCTTTACTAAACCATAATATGAATTTTATTTACTTTATATGTTCATATTTCGATTGTTTAATAAATCTTAAAAATTACTATGTGAAGCATACACGTATAGACTATGTCATTTATTTTGGAATAATTTGATTTCATATATTTTGAAAGAGCTTTGAAGATGTACAACCCAAATAAATTGAGTTTACAAACATGAAAAATCAACATTATTCCAAATTAAGCGACACAACCTCCATCCACTGGTATTCATACAGTTATATCAAGTAAGCAAGTTGCCACATGATAGGATGTTTAAACATAATAAGAAAAACACACACAAATGGGATGCTAAAGTATAAAAACTTACATATTTACCGACGTCCCACGAACAACTACAAAACAAAGTTATTAAAACATGCATGATTTTATATACAAAATCCTAATGCAATTCACTCATGAGATACAACTAAAGATTCGGCTTCTAAGCTATGACATGTGAATCATCTCAAGAATATGAGGCAGTGCACATAATCACATAGGAATTAATTAAATCCACAAATGTAAACTTAACCGAATCAAGATGCATGAAAGTGGATAATGTGCCTGTTTGGCAGAGCTTAATTACAGCTTATTTCAGCTTTCAGCTTAATTTAAGCTATTTTGATGTGTTTAGTTTAGCTTATAGCTTATAGCTTATAGCTTGTAGCTTTTTGGAAGTCAGAAATCAGCTTATTCTTTGAGTGGGGCAAGAGATGCTTTAAGAATAAGTTGAAAATCAGCTTAAGCTGAAAGTTATAAGCTCTAAGCTATTGAGGCATAAGCTATAAGCACTTTCCCACAACTCTACCAAACAGGGCCAATGAATGGGAATGGTGGGGTGTGATTGTGAAAATAGATGGTGAGTGGGGATGGTGGGGTGTGATTATGAAGCAGTTAAATATTATTTGGGGGAAAATATAACACAATATGATGCTTTCGCAGAATGGTTAAGGTTTAAGATGTGGGGTTTAAACCCTTTCACCAGCATTCTTATTTCTCTCTTTTTCTTTTCTTTTTGGGTAAAGACATGTCATCGCCACATCATCAGCACCGACCAATCTAGTCATGCCACGTTAGCAAGACCGCCACGTCAGCGTCATGGTTAGCATTGACGAAATATTCTGTATATGGACAGAATATTCCCTAACTTAATAGAATATTCTCTCACATAACCGAATATTCCTTGAGTTTTGAAAATTACAATTTGGCCCAGAAGTTTCGAATAATTGTGCTGTAACCTAGATTTGGGAGAATTTTTCAGTGAAGCCCCCAGAAGTGCAGCGAAGGTTGATCCTAGCTAAACGAACTATTCTGGATGCAACCATGAGGTTAGAATATTCCCTCGAAAATGTAATTGTTGGCTGTTTAGGTTTGGAAACAGGGCTCAAATTCTAAGTTTTTTTATTGAGGATTCTGTGAGAAACACCTTCTTGTTTTCATCATTAGGTGATCAGAAAAAAGTGCCCAAGTCTGAGGGCCGATTAAAATGGGGTGTCTACACTAGCTGATTGTCGCAAAATTGCCATTGGATTTGTCAATAGAAATCATTTTGTGTAGGTATAACTTATAAAAATAACCTAACATTGTTGTTTAATATTTGTGTAATTTCATATTTGATGGATTTGGTAAAGATATGTAATTTTTTGGATGTACATGCATGTATTTTTGGAGGCTGGTCATCCAGTTCCTCTAATTGTTGTGCTTTGGCGAGTTCACCATCACCCTTGTGCATCAGAATGGGAGAATGCATATGTTAGCCGCATTAAAAAATTCAAAAACAACATAGGACCTATTGTAGCTACTCGAGAGACATTTGATGTAGTTGATATAGATTGATGTATTAGAGAGCAGTCATGAGAGATTTAATACATTAGTTTTTATGATTTACTAGCATGGAGTAACGGGATGGATATCATTTTGCCATTGGATTTTGTAATGGTCATTTTTCTTAATAGAAATATCATATGAGTTATAGTTCTCTTATTTATGGAATGGATGTCATATTATTTTTACATTGTCTGAACACAAAACGTAATAAAAATAATATTAACCAAGTGTAACTACTGTTAAAGATTATTCATATTAAACAACAAGTATCTAAGAAGAAATAATAATATTAACTAGTAGTTCAATCCATCCACATCATTACAAAATACATGTCTCCTTGTACGTTATCCAAAGATAATAATAATATTTGTCTCTTTATACATCCACCCACACCATCACAAACTACTTGTGCTAACATTATGAACTACTATCAACTACGTGACCGATGAGTGTAATGTGCTCCAAAACGATGTGCAATAGAAGAACTGGGTGCAGACCGACCTTGAGCGGATGTGCTGGGCGTAACTTCACTAATGTGCTGATCTTGAAGAAGCTATTCAATTGCATCAGTTGCGTAGTAAAGCCTATCAGGATGTTGAACACTGTCCTCATAGCCAGCCTCAACGAAATGATGAGTAATCTGATATATCTATGACATACGCTGCATTACAAGAATAAATACAACATTATATATAAACTTATAACAGTTTACATAAATAATTTGTAATGTAAATACAAAAAAGGATATCTGTGCATCTTGGCTAGGATTCTGATAATGATAAATATTCGGATCCACCTGAGACTGACGTGCTGGGTTTTGAACATATATATGGGTAATAGTTTGGTACCAATCCATATAACCAAGAACACAATCCTAAGGTTTCCATACCGGTGTACTCCTCCTCCGATCAGATAACACATGGTTGTCCTATGCCTCCTAAATGATGTCCAAGTATGCACACATAACATTGTAGCGTGGAGCTGTGGCTCCTCGAGAAGCACGCATAGGGCGAAGTGGTGGATTAGGGATTGTCTGCACTCTACCAAACTATCTCAAAACTCTATCAAGGTGATATGGTTCAACTATTTCCAAACACTTTAGGCAACTATGGTAGAACTTAATTGGGTGACATGAATGGACATCTCTGCAACTCTGGTATAGGTCCCAAATAACCTACAAACAATAACAACTGTAAGATATGACAACTGTAAATTTTGTATGAAATAGAGTTTCAAATTTTGAAGGACTTTTTAATTTATATCATGTACACCTAACCTATCAAGCTCCTCTCGAAAAGCCTGCAACTGTGTCTTTTCACCAGACTCTCTCTGAGAAGTCCAACGGTAAACATGTGGCATGTCTTGAGTGTAATTCATATTCAAGTGTGGTTGGAATCCACGAAAGTGCTGATAAATCCATCTTTCAAGGAGTGTCATGTAACCAGCTATTTGTTTCATGCTGGACCTGCTAGCATACCCCAACTGTCTATATAAGTATGCCAATGTAGCAGCACCCCAAGCATATGAAGATACGGTAGTCAAATCGGACGACAAACTCAAATAAACAAAGGGAACCCTTGTACCAGTCTTGTTACTGAAAAGTGTACAACCCAAGTATACTCTACCTACACATACAATTCTTTCCATTGAATCATTGTTTGTGACATTATGAAAGTGTGCCCTCAACCACTCAAGCCTCACTGAATTGTCTCCAACACTAGACATCTCATGTCTAACCTCTTGCTCATCAATTTCCAAGGTATTAACTACTAATGCAATGGCCTGTCTTTTTAATAACTTAAGCACACTAATAGATTTGCCTACAATGGGAAGCCCTAGGATAGTGGCGACATCATCCAATGTGATAGTCATCTCTCTAACAGTGAAATGGAAAGTGTTTGTCTCCGGTTGCCATCTCTCAACAAAACTAGACACTACAATTTTGTTGACAAAGCGGTACGTGCAACAAGCTAAGTGTGCAAGTCCTGACATCTCCACAATGTTTACAAATATAACGTTGTTGCCTTGTTCCCACCACAGCCACGAACGAATCTTAGACGAGTGATTATGACACTTCAAGGGCCCCCTTTCATTAACACCATTCCAAATAGCTGCGACAACATGACTTTTAAAACTGTTAAGGATTAATGGATCAATTGGCCCTCCCAGAAATGGCTGAGTAAGGATATCTTCATCAACAATGTCAGCATCATCACCAGTAGAGTCATCATCCATAGCAATATCATCCATACCTAATGTATCATGTATACCATCATTATCCATGGCAATGTGTGTGTCATCATCACATACTCGAGCATGTCCACGTCCATGTCCGCGTCCACATTCATCATTCTCTAATTCATGGAGTCTTCTGTTCGAAGTTGTTACTGATCGACGTTGATTGGGATCGACATCAATCTGCATACGAAAAATTGTTCTCATCAACCTAATATAGCATTTATAGTGAAAACACTAACAAATATACAATCAAATAGTTGAATTATAGTCATCAACGAATATAGCAATAACAACTAGTTGTGTTAATAATATAATGTGGGAATACTAGTACTGCACATATTTTTTTCTTCTATTGCTATATGTTGAAGTTCACAAAAAAAATTAAATAAATAAACATACTCATAAAATAAAATTGTTGGAAAAAAACCTAAGGTAAAACCAATCTTGGTGGCCTATGTAACTTGGTCTTAAAAAAAAGGGAAAAAAAAAACCACGAAAGAACACATACTTTTTGAAACTATAAAACCGAAAAAGTTTATTAAATTTGGGATATAACTATCGAAAATACTGAAAATTTTTGGAACTATAGAACCGAAAGAATTTTCTAAATTCGAAAGATACCTATCGAACATTTTATCTATTTTCAGCACTATTTAATCGAAAAACTCAAATTTATTCGGTTGTTGAGTTTCGAATTATGTGTACAAATTCAGCAAACAAGAGCTGATATCCCCGATTCGTAAACAAGAAGGAAAAAACCGACGATTTTATGGCAATGAAGTGTACAAAGATCTGTAAATGGTAAAATGTAATAACAAAATGAAAGATTCCTTACCTTCAACACTATTTTGGAGGTTTTCAATGGAGGTCTTCCATGGATGTCTTCAATAGAAGAAAAGTGTCTTTGCTTTTTCACTTCAGACTTTGGTCTTCAAGGTGGTCTTTACTTTTTCAGTTCAGATTTTGGTCTTCAAGGTCTTCACGTGGGTGGCTAAAAAATGTGGAAGTTAGGTAAATCAAAAGTGTGTGGAAAGGAGAGATAAGAGGTGTGTGTACAATAATATTTGAGTTTAGTGTGTGGATTTAAAAAATTAATAAATAAATAAATTAATAAGTGTGTATATAGAGAAAAGATGTATACTGAATTAATTAGGTGCATGGAAATAGAATTTCCCCATGTAGAGAACTTATTTTTATAAATTCCAAACTGATCTAGAAATTTTTACAGTTTATAATACATAACAATTGAAGCAATCAAAACAATTTTTGGGCTCTATTCCGGCTCTGGTTTTTTCACCATCTGAATATGATATTGATGGTTATTTCATGATTTTCATGTTGCTTGTGGTCGATGACGATGGGTGAGTCCGTGGGAGAATTGAAAGGGGAATGAGAGATTTTTAGTATTTCACGTTATACAAAAATATTATAACAAGATGATGACATGGCAGAATAGCAGTGGGTACCTCAAGTAGTGCACATGAGGCGAAAAAATTAATAAAATATTTTTATATAAAATAATATAAATAGCTAAATTTTTATACGTAAATTATGAAAACAATAAAAATATTAAAACTTACAATTTAAGTTTCATAATTTTATCACAATTTATATATCAATTTTTAATTTGTCACAATTTCAATCATGTAACTTTCAACCCCTTGCTAGAGTTGTAAAATTGAGCGAATTCAACTTAAGCAACTCGGGTTAAGTCTGGAATTTTTTAAAGATTGAGTAAAATAATTTTTAACTCGGTAAGGACTAATTTAAAATTCAAAAATTTGAATAAATTTGAGTAGACTTGAACAGAGATACCAAGTAATTTGAGCGAATGAACCAAAATTGCATATATAAATATATAAAATTATTTGCTATTTTATTTTTTAATAATAAAAAGGATTAATTAAAAATTTAATATTAATGGACACCCCAACAAAACAGATCTTCTAAGTCCTTCCACCTAAACAGAATCTGATTTGTGCAATGTTATGAAGGAAGTCATCAATCAAGAATGGAGTCTGCTTGGTTGTAGCTTTATACCAGATGGAAATTCTTGTAATGATGAGCTCCAGTAATTCCTGCAACTTTGGTTGAGAACCTTGAAAGAGGCACTCATTTCTGTGCTTCCAAATTGACCAAAGAGCTACCAGAGGAATTGCACTCCAAATTCTTCTTTCAGCTTTCTTGCAGCAGTACCCTGACCACAAGTCAAGCAGGCCTTGAACAGAACCAGGCACCACCCAAGTAACCTTCCACCACTTCAATAGGCTAGACCAAACTCTCCATACCAAGGGGCAAAGGATAAGCACATGTTCATCTGTTTTAATACTAGCTTTATAGAAAATGCATCTTGATACCAATTTATTGTAAACATTGAGACATCCAATGAAACGTAGTGTATATTATCCTACAAATTAATCACTTAAAAACACATTTCTGGGAGCAGTTTGGCCTTTTTTGACATTTTGTCCAGTTGAAATTCCACACCTGCTAGATTTTAATTCATTCTGTTTGATTTATTTTCTCCTATGGAAAATGTCAAGGAAAAATACATAGGAAAAATTGGAATCACTAAATTCATTGTTTTAGAATGAAAGCGTACCATGTTTCGAAATATGTATTGCAAGACATAAATTGCCAGGGGATTAGTGTTTGACATAGGCATGTGCCTAAACATTGGTTTTATCTTGTTTGAAGACCATGTGTGCCTCATCTATTGGTTTGTGGCTGTGGGGCATTTGTTTATTTTAGAAAAACATAGTCTGTTCTTTATGCATTTGTTTAATTCAAATGTTAAATTTTTAGGCACATGATGTTTAATACCAAGATTTAAAAATGAACTTTGCTGCTCTGATCAAATCGTAATATTTTCATTTCAGTCATTCTTTTCAATACTTGTTCAAAAAAATAAAAAAAATAAAAAAAAATCATTCGTTTCAATACCACAATTTTAACTAGGTGACAATGTCTGCCCTTGGAGAAATATTCGAAGCTGCACGTGCCATAATGGGTTGGCTTGGTGATTGTGCAAAGGTATACTTTTGTTTCAAATTTTGGACTGTTAAATTTGATCAGAAGTCCTATTTTTGAATATGGAATCTTGATTATTGAAATTCTACAGATTATTGCTTCAGAAAATCAACCAGTGCGTTGGACAACTCCTCTAGGTCTTCCTGTTGTGCAACCCTACTTTAAAACTGAACGGCATGTTGTGAGTATTTGAGTTTAGTTGTATTTTGAAATCATAAAATGTAATTCCTCATAAAATCTGTGAAATGATATTGATCACACCGTGGTGCTGCAGATAAGAACTTCTCTTCAGGTGTTGGCTTTGCAGCGTGAGGGTGACTCTGTAAGTACATATCATCATTTTGTCAGAAATTCTCCCATCTCTTTTCCGACACCGTCGTTGCCATAACTTTCATTATGTGTTGGTACTCAAAAATATATCCCCATAACTGCCCCTAGGTTCTATTACCTCGACATTCTGAGGTGATGGAACCTATATCATTCCTTCCTTCCTTCCAGTACGTCCGTTTACAGTATCTCAGCCGAGATCATTATTTTGGCCGACATGTCTTTGTTGAAGAACAAGAACTTCAAGAACCCTTGCACGCGTATGAGTTGTCATACACCATAATTCAACCGTTTTAGCCACGCGTTTCTTTTTTACTGGTTCGTACCTGTGACGCGCCTGTAAGCCGTCTCACTCTCATGTGCGCCGTCGCTTTGCTAGTTCCTGGAATTAGTTCACATTGACCGGTTCTGATGCTATTTTTCCTGAAAACACAGCCCCCATTAGCTGACTCTAACATTCCAATAATCAGTAACCCAGTCCATCGTACAATTATTTAAAAATCAATTAATTGAATACTAAACTTGAGTTGAGAGTCTTAATGGAGAGAAAGTCAATATGGTTACCAAACTTTGCAAATCCTTCCCATCATTTCCAAATTTTCCATCCATTTGTAGGTTTAGTATGATTACTTGAGACCGTATTTGGATAATGAATTTGGAAAGAGAGAAGGAAAATGTGTGTGAAAAGTTGGTAAAACATAGTTATATTTCATTCACATTTCACCCGTATTTTCCTTTTACCTTTCCAAATCCATGATCCAAATACATATTTCATCCACATTTCACACACTTTTCCCTTTCTCTTTCCAAATTCCTACTCCTATCATGATTCAAACAAAGCCTAAGTATATCAAGTCTTTAGAATAAACTGATTACTACAGAAAGCCGCTATTCTCACCCCACTTTGCTCCAAATACACTTCCTTCTTTGTTATTTATTATACATAGTTATATTAATACCTTTTCATACAAAATAAACTCCATGAAAAGACCAAAATTCCAAGGGTATTAATTTATTTGGAGCAAATAAGTGAGTGTGTTTAGAATAAAGTGGAGTGGGAATAGTGACTTCCATACTATATTAGTTATGGGTCGTTGAACACACCAAAATTAAATACTAAACGATACCAAATTCAATCAGAATAATGGCAAGTTCAGGTATCGATCCACAGGGTCTATTGTGAAATTAAACTAATTTAATTGTCAAATTCCTAAATTAATTTTGAATAAAAGATTGATTGTTTATAACCTAATTTAATAACGAATAAATTAAACTAAGGAATTAAATTATCAATAATAAATGAAATTTGGTTTACTAAATTGGGAAAAAATCCTAGGGTAGAGAATTTACTACTAACCACATAATTAAGGTTTCTAATTGAAATCAATTATGCTATGGTTTGAACGGATTAATACTTCGCAACTACAAGCTCAAAGCATTTAACAAGAAAATCATCACATTCAATGTACGAGCACGAACCATCTCAAGTAATACGAATCGTTCACTCTAAACTAAGGTAGTGATACGACTCATTCCTCGTAGCATGGTTCGTCACATACCTTGAATGTGAAGGAATATAAAACTCATGTATGGATAACATTCAGCAATCACAGAAAGTCAAATATTCGAAGAGATAATGAAAAATATATATATATGAACTTCTAAATCACCATACAATTGTTCAAACCTTTACATAATTAAAAATCAAAAAGAAAACAAAATAATTACATGGCTAGGGTTTCATCAAAACCCTAGAAAAGGAGACTAGCCACTCATAGAGGAGTGGAAGGAGGTAGATGGAGAAGGAATCACCATGGGAGACATCCTTGAAGCTTTTCGTTTCTCTCCTCTCCCAAACCCTAGCCTCTCTCTTTAGGTCAAAACAACTTCCGAACCCTACAAAAGCCTTTTCCTTGCCTTTTTATACTTCTACTCACTTCCAAACATGTTTAAAACGTCGGTTTGACTTTCCCAGAAAAAGTCAACGCACGTGCGGAAAAGTCAACGCACGTGCAGAAAAGTCAACGCACGTGTGGGAAAGTCAACTCTGTCCAAATTCTGTCTTTTTGCCCATTTTATGCTCCGACGATGTACAACCTGATTGACATTTAACACACATAAAGTATACAGTTTGACCAGCAAATGAAGTTAAGAGATTCTAATTAACGGCCTCAATGATGTACATTTTCGGCCTCAATCAATTAGACCATTAAATACTCACAAGATTTCAACATGTTATTTGGATGCAATGTGTAAATAATTCTTCAATTTAAAAAATAAAAGAATTACACATACCAGTACCTGGCAATTCAAACAATCTCACAATAAAATATATAAAAGGAAATTTTTTTTTAAAAAAACAATCTACAACTATAAAAGCATGAATCTGTTTAAAATCTCCATTTATAGGAAAGAGATTAGTACCAAACTGAAAGGGCTTCAAATTGAAAATGAAAAGGTAATAATTAAAATAGAAAAAATTGACCCAATTCAATAGAATTGAACTACAAGCTTATAAGAAGCAAGGTTGTTAAAATCGGGATCCTACGTTGGATCTTTGGAGGTGTTTATAGGATCGGATCGTAAAATCGGATCGAAGATCATAAAATCCTACCGAAAAAGACAAATCACATGATAATTTAATTTAAATAAATATTTCTTAAAAAGTATATACAAAATGAGCCTATATTCTATTAAAAAGAAGTGAAGATATTATGAAAAATATAATACTCCATATAAAATGTACATATAATATTATACAATAGAAAACTCGATAATAAAAGTTTTGTATTTTATCAAAAAAGAAGGTGAAGAAGAAGAATTCTATAACAAAAACTTTACAATCTACAATAATACATAAAAAGTGAAGAAAAAATATTTAACAAAGTTGGATATGAAAATAGATTAAGAACAAAAGAGTAGCCTAACCGAATGATAAGGTTTGTCGTTAGCATCCCTGATGGAGCGGATTCGAGTCACAAAAATAATCTCTCAAAAAATTAGGATAAAGTTGCAATTATCCTACCTTCCTTAGACTCCGCTAAAGCTAAGTTTGTTTTTCTAACTAGTTAATTTTTTTAAATTACGGCAATATTTGAATGTTTGTTTCCTAGTTTATTTTTCTTAGTTTATTTGATTCAATGCTACTTAATTTTTATTATTTATTTTGACCACATAAATTGATATTTAGACAACAAATATAAAATTTATAATAAAATATGTCATATAATACAAAACAAGGCTTGTAAATTGGATCGGATAGGATCAGATTCAGATTGGAATTCCACAATCCTATAAGATCCCATTACCAGGATCGAAAGATCCTACTTATAAGAAATTTTTTACACGATTCGGATCGATTGTACTCAAATGGATCGTAAGAACGTAGGATCGTAAGATCTGAATCGAGATTCTGATAACCATGATAAGAAGATTAACTCCACACATAAAAGCAGTAGATCGTTTGATAATTAGATGAGTATATTAACTAAGTTAATCTTGGTACTAATCTACAAACAATTTGAACAATTTCAATGGAAAATCTGCACTGGTTTGTCTGAATTCCAAGTAAATAATTGCTATGTCTATACAAATAAATACATGATTTTGTGAGGTTAATTGAAATTAGCACCTGAAGGTGTTGATTGAATAGAACCGATCGTGAGTCAAATGAGAGTAAAAACACTGCAAAAACAGAGAGAGAGACAGAGAGAGAGCTCACCAGAAAGCAGAGGTGGAGTGGAGGTAGTTCTCAGTACTAGCCTATATAAAATACTGAGGCCACGTTTGGGAACATGCTAATTTAGTAATTTTTTGACTATTTAGCTAAAATATGAGCCAAAAAAAAACTAGTATGTTTGGGATGACTTTTTGGCTTTTTACGAAAAGATGTGCAAAAAGTAAAGAGAAAAGAGAATCTTTAACTTTTTGATATGGGTTGTTGGCTTTTTAGCTAGAAAATGAGGGTTCCCAAACGAGGCCTGACTAATCCATTAAAATCGTATCGATTCGTACTAATCTGTCCAGCATTAATTTGATTGTGATTTAAAATTTAAAATTTGCCTTATATATTTTTACCTTTAATAAAATATTAAAATAAAAATAAATACGGAAGATTTAAATTTGTTATAAATTAATATTATATATATATATGAAAATTATTATATAAAATTAATTAGTATTATATATTTATATATATAAAATATTATGTAAATTATGTAAATACTTAATAATTATTTAAAATTATTCTTTAATCAATTAATAAATTAAAATGATAAGATTTAATTATTTATTAAATCTTTATTCACAATTTAATTATGATTTTACTTCAAACCAATCCCATTTGGTACCTCAAATTTTCCATGGCCCCAGTGCCCCGAAATCTAAAAACGACGTCATTTTGGCTTTTTTTTTTCCCCCTTCTTCTTCATCCTTTCACACGCACATAGATTCAGAAGAAAAGAAGACAAAAGAGAAGAAAGAAGAAAGAAAAAGAAGAAGAAGAAGAACACAGCAACACAGCATCATCATCGTCAACCCATCATCAACACAACATCATCATCTTCAATAACCAACAGATCATCATCAAACCCTCCCCACACACATGCAAATCTGGAAAATCAAAAACAGATTTGGAAGCCAACTCGATGAAACACACACACACGGTGGCGACAGAGGCGACGTCGACGGAGGAAGATCGGCTCCTTTTCTCCCTTCCTCTCTCTTTCTTCTGTCTTTATCCCTCCCTCACTCTGTTTCGTTTCACAGATAAAAGAGGAAAAAAAAAAACAGATTGAACTGCTAAATGAAGAGATAGAGAGGAGAGAGAGGCGAGAGAGGCGAGAGTTAATGGCAGGGATGAGGCAAGAGAGGTGAGAGGGATGTGGCGAGAGTGAGAGAGAGGCGAGAGAAACTTTTCGAGCCATTCGAGCCGATATATTCGAGCTACGGACTATTTTTCTACTTCAAACCGTATGGAATCATACCATGTGTGTGAGTGATTTTCTGACCACATTGTCCGCTTAGTAACCAGTTGGAGAGCACCGGAAGAATAGATGGCAC